ATTCGATTTTTATGAATCAAAATACTTAGAAAAATATTCTGCTTTGGAACATGAAATTAAAACTCTATATTGTCATTCAAAAAAGTCAAAACTTAAAAAATGATGAGGATAAAAAATATTTAAAAATATAATTTCTTAATAAAAACGTTGGTTTTTTAACAACTTGAAACTATGTAAAAAGTATTTTTAAAAGTCAATACTTGTTTTAAATAACGAGCATTGTTTGATAAAAGAATCGCCCTGTATAAATGATAATGCATTATCAATATGTGTCTTTGTAATTTATTTTATAAGTTATTAATATTTTAGTAAGGTGATTGAAGTTAATCTAAATAGCAGAAGATATTATAGCTATTGTTTATTTTGCTTAATATTCATGCTCATTTTCCAATTGCTTTTTAAGTCTCTCATTAGAATGACATAAACATTTTTAGTCTCTGTATTTTGAATAATAGTATCATTAAAACTATCAAAAGAATTTTCATTAATGGAAGTTTTGTCTTCCTGCTTCTTAAATATATATATATATTATATTAATGATTAAAATAGCTTTAACTTTTTTGATACATATGGCAGATAAGCTTGAGCATTTTCATCATRTTTAAAGCCCATTTTAGAATACCTATTGCAAATTTTTTTAAACAACTTTCGATATATTATGATGTTTGTGTTGCAAATTTTTTTAAAATTAATTTCTGTAAAGTGTATTTTACAATATGTTTTAATTCTTTTTATCTGAAAATATTTAAGTTTAGTAAACACTTATAGAAATTTTTTTTTACCATTTGTACTTTGAAATTCGACAGTAAAACATGTTAGATTTATAAAATTGATCGGCATTATTAATTGATCTACGGAAAAAAAATTCATATATTACCATTCATCTTTTTAAAAATATAACTATCTCATAACAAATTTTTATGCCTGATCTTTGAAACTTGGAAGACAGTTATCTTCAAATTGCTTAAAAGTTGATCAATGCTTTGAACGAGTCCAATGACTAACATAACATTGAATAAAAACAGTCAAATGACATAACAATTATTTTGGTTCTCTAATGTCTGTTTAATTTCAATATAAGTATGCAAAAATATTTTGAAGTTGCATATCACATAAAGAAAAACAAGATTATAATCAAAATATTATGTTATATTGTAGTTTTTATTGTTGAAATTCGACTTTGATGTATATAATAGTAGTGTCTTTATTTTCATCATTAATATGGTTAATATAAAAATGCCAAATATTATAAKTAGGTACATTTAAGTAAGTTATATTTTTAATATTACTAAACATCATTCACTAGTGTTAACCATTAGGAACATATGTGCTTTTTTAATGTGTATAGTTAATACTATAGTGTGTTTTGGATTATATTATATAAACCCATGCCTAATGATGTGATACAAAATTATAAAACTTTATTATGTTTTAATAATATTGGATTTTTATAAAAATAAATAAACAATGCCTTTACTAAGAATTTTTTCATCATATCAGTAATATAATAATGTATTATTTTTACCTGGAATCAAATAGACTCCTGCTTACTTGATTAATGGTTAAATACACACAGGTGCGTATAAATTTATATAAAATAGTCAAATCTTAACCTATGGTTTTTTTTTWTTTTAAGTTAACAAAGTGTCAAATTAWACTGCATATAATATTTATATATTATTATTATCCTGCAATTTASCACTTTTCCAATAATAAATATTTTGGCATTGACTGCTTACAGTATTAGTATAMTAATTAGTATTTATATGTCACTATATTATATTTACTTATTTTATAAGGATTATTTTTAAGTTTCAATCGATACATTCTCATTATATTTAATATTATTATGACTTCTACTTAAATTGAAAAAAATATCTGTGTTGTATGTAATATGCAAAAATTTTATATGTATACTAATAAATCGACTACCTAGGTAGTTTCTGGTAGTCAAACAACAGAAATGAAAATTTTTTGTTACTCTGCTTCCTCTGTTACCAATTACTTACCAGGTAATTGGTATATTATATTATTTGTTATTGATGTTATATTACTGAATTAATTATTCCAATTATAAATAAATAAATAATATTTAGTATTCTTCAAAATATTTATAAATAGGTACATTAATAGCAATCAGTGGCGTATTTTGGGGGGGTGTCCTCCATGTCTTGACACCCCCCGACATTAAAAAAAAGTCCTAATATATTGGACATTAGTGTTGTCCCCGGTGTTGTAACTTATTTTATAGTATACTATTTTTATCAAATGTAAAACTTCTTGTCAATTCCTAACATATTAATTTGTTAAAAAATTAATTCAATGTCTTTTTACATTAGTAAATAAAACTAAAAATTTTGTTTGTGAGGTTCAATAAATGTTGACACCCCCCGAGAAATCACCCAAAATACGCCACTGATAGCAATTCCAAGAATAGGTTTTTGAATAAAGGTCAGAAGTCTTTATTATAATGAATGTATTATTTTGTATAATATAAACATTATTCTGTTTAATTTGATCTGTGATTAAAAACGAGTAGGTACCTATTAACCACTCAACTACAACTGCAGGTAGGTATCTAATACCTATATAAGTATCAATATATGTACCAATCCATGTATATCTACATTATATTTTAATTAAATAATAAAAAATTACTACTTAATTTTTTATAAACATAAAACTAAAAAGAATAAAAAAAATATTTTAATTGATATTGATAAATTTCATAGATAGCTGAAATTAATTCTAAAAATGAATGTATAATTATATTAATTTTTTAATTACCAGATTCAGTTCACAATTAGAGCTTAGCTATCAGTACCTAAATGTTTGTTAAAAACATGGTGAAAATTATTTTCATTGAACAGTGTAGAAAGTTGATTTTAATACAGTACTTTTATACATAGAAGTATAGAACACTGTGCATCATAAGTGTATGTGCAACTATAAATACTGAGATTTTAAAATCGAGTATTAAGCATTTTTTTTTCAAATACAAATCATTAATAACATGAATAATGAAACAATAGTTGTATACTATAATAGAAGAATGAGAAGAATGTCCTTARTGAACATACTATAATTCACATATAACTTTATAACAATCTCTACTAATTTTAACTAATACATTTATAATTCTAAACTAATCATTTACCTAGCTATTGTTCTTTAGTATTGTATACTGTAAAGCATTATTTTCAGCAGTTGGTATTAATTTCTTCTGCAATATCTAGACAAGCATTAAGTCAAGGAAAAGGCATGGAATTATTGATGTTGATGTTGCAAAGGCAAATCAGAAGTTAATACCAGCGATTCTCATTATAAACTCATTCAAGTTTATTCTTTATGCCATCATTTCATTATCTCGATTATGTCTTTTTTCAATTAGAGATACCAAAACACCAAATATTATTTACAACAGTAAACTGAAATATAATTATTATGAAAAAAAAACTACCTAAATTTTATATTTGAATAAACAAACAAAATTAAATTCCACTAAGAAATGTTACTTTATTGGAATTGAGTTTAATCTTATAACTTAAACCAAAACCATTTTTATCCACAAGAGTGTTCAAGTATAAGTTTTTAAATAAGATGGAGAAATGTTTTATAAAGACATAAAGTAATAATTAACTATGATATAAATTGATATGCTTTTTATAAAGACAAAATAAATCCATTTTCTTATCATGGATTAATAAAAATTTTGATTTAATTATGTTAATTATAATTACTTTTGAAACAAATTTCTTGTCCACATCTTTTAGAAATGGTATAACAGAAATATTTATTAATTGTTTCCAGAAAATGATTTGAAGATAATATGGACATGTGTGAAGTTGCGTRACCAAAGCTAGGTGACTACTTTTCGGGCGGGTAGTGATAAGAAACCTTGTACGTTGGGTTRCGTTCTTTAAATTTCAAGAGTGCCAAACTATTGG